TCCGTTGTTCATTATCCAAAAAACTTCGAACACACGCGAACGAAAGCGAATAAAAGCGAAGAAAGGCGTCGTTTCCTGTACAAATTACACCAAATGCAACATACGACTCAACGTTAGCCTCGATGTGGTGTTTGCGCGGTTGCTATTCCAAGATGGCGCCGGGAACTGTGAAAAGGGCTATTGGTCACCCTAGAACAGACTAAGTGCGTCAGTTAGCGGTTGATCCAGGGAGTAGCGGACTTCGTTATTATGCAGACTCAGTGAAAGCGCAGTTCATTAATGTTGCTTCTATTGTCCTGTATAACGTCACAAAAATTAACGTGTAGATTACGTATATGTAAAATATTGTCACCTCAGGAGATACTAAGAAGCATGGTTATGTGCTCAGTCCGTCAGTAAGCAGTTGATCAGAGTGCTTCGTTATTATGCAGACTCAGTTGAAATGCTTTTATCAAGGCTGCTTCCGTTGTCCTATGTCATGTCTAAAAAATTTAATTAACAATCTCGTCATTAGCTAGAGGTTAAATTAAATTTGTACGTGCACACACAATATTTCCTATCTCAGCTATTTAGCGGAAAGACGAAATGTGAAAAATAAAGATCAGCTTCTCTCCGCTTTCGCCCGATTGCTCTTTTAATTACATCGAACTATTGCTCCGCAACTTCGTCAGCCTGAGAACTACTTGCTTACATGTACTTCCACCTGGGTACGTGCGGCTTGTCTGGAGTTTTCAAAGGCACGCCATCACAACTTAAACGGGTGTTTTGAGTTGTCACCAGGTCAGCATTTTCCTTTGCACAACAGGCACTGTCTGCCGGTGTTCAACAAAGAGATGACATGAGATTGTACAAAAATGCTAAATATCTACGTTAAACGCGTTTCGAACCAAAAAATTTTGAGCTTCGATCAAAATTAAGAAACGTCCTTCAAAGGTTTTTTTCTTTTTTTCGATTTATGATTACCTGACTTGATAATTCGCAAATCAGTGTGCGATGCCTGGTTACGGCAGGCAAAATTTGATGTTTTATTTATATAATATATGCTGCATTTACAACTAATCCTTCACTCTTCACTCAATGCGCGTTTTTTTCTTTTAATTTTGAAATGAGGTGCACTTTTGCTGTGGCTATTTATTAATTAACAGTATAGGCAACTTGAGTTTATGAAAAAGAGAATTAATTTTTAGAGAAGCAGCTATAATCCTATTTGTTTGCACTGTTTACCCACTATGACGTCAGTGGCAGCTGGTGAGCAAATCTTCAAGCTTGGCCATCTCCTTGTTCATTTCAAATAGGACGAACATCACGTTTCTGATCGCGCATCTGACGTAACAAATATGAACAACTCAAGTTTCAACACATTATTGGATCGATCAATGTGTTCCCAAATCGTTTCAACAACGCTCACAGCAGTTATTTCCTTTGTTAGTATTTCGGCGTTTGTCGGCAACATTCTAGTAACAATAGCTTTTCTTATGAACGCCACTCTACGAACGTGCCCAAACTACTTCATCGTCAACATGGCAGTTTCTGACTTATTCTCCGCCTTGACCATCTGGCCGCTGTACGCTACTGAAGGGATGCTCTCAAGGAAACAGTTGATCGGCGAACCAATGGCTACAGTAGTGTGCAAACTAGGACTCTATTCCAGGGCTGTTTCTCAGGCTGTCTCAACAGTGAGCCTTGTGTGGATTGTTGTGGAAAGATTCATCGCCATTGCGCATCCCTTTCAGGTGAAGAGCCTCACAAAACGATTGCGAGCTGTTTTATTAACATTGACGTGGATTATTTCACTATTGCTTGGTATCCCGTACATACCCTTTTCAAAAATCGTTCATCAGGGTCAACAGATATTTTGCAGATTTTCATGGGGTGAGGAGGAACTCTCCATATTCTTTTCCGTTGGATTTGTACTCTTCTACTGTGTGCCGCTGACTACAATAGTTGTACTTTACTGTAAAATCATGAAATGTTTGAAGCGGTCAAGACCGACAGCGGACGAAGTACAGGAAAGAACCACAATTAGAAATCGTCAACAGAATCTGACTGTCATGAAAGTCTTCATATCGATTGTGACTGTATTTTTCATCTGCTGGACTCCACTGTGTGTCTTTCTGCTATTGAAACTGGCTTTTCCACCAGTGTATACCAAAGACTCATGCCTACTATTTGCAGGATTGTTTTTCTACATTTTTCCATCTTTAGGTACAGCAATTAATCCAGTTATTCTCTTTGCATCCAGCACAAATTTTTCCAAGGCACTAAAAGAAATGTTAAAGTGTTCTACATCGAACCCTTGCCGCAGATGTGAGCGAGTCTCGCCACAAACACACGTTATTGAGCTTACCTGGAAATATAGTACACATTGAAGCGACTGAGACTGATTTTATATGTGCAGTTTAATGAGAGATCTTTTACGTTTCTCACTTTTTGACGGACAAGAAAAATATTAGAATCACGTTTTTTAAGTGACCACAAATCCAATTGGGCCCGCGATTCCACCGATTCATTTCCCTTTATTACATATTAATTTGTAACCTTATTTCGTGGCTAAAATTGGTGATACTTCATATTTTACACGTTTTGATCCAGAAGTGTGTCAATGACAAACAATTGTCATAATCTGCACCTCTTGCAATTAAGCTTTGGGACTGTATGCTACGCTTAGCGCATTTTCTAATTAGTGCCGTATTGGTTCTTGCTTTTAACGATCCTCATCAAGACGGCCGGAAAGCTTTAATGCTTCATTAAAAGTTGCCAATTGTGTACTTTTATTGGAACATTTTTTTTTAAATTTAAGAGAAGAGGGAAATTGTGTAGCTGAACTAGTCTGAGACCGTGTTGGGAAAATATTGATCGAGTTATATTTTATTTAACAAATGGTAAACCCCATAGCGTGTACTATTGTGTTATGGATGCACGCGTGAGGTTGCTAAGCACGAAAGAAGCGTAAGAGTCGCACGAGGCTATCGCCTCGTGCGACTCTAGCTTCTTG